GTGCCACAGAAGATGACGATGGCGGAGATGAAGTCCACCAGCTCTGTGAGGGCCACATGGGTGCAGGACAGGTTGAGCAGTGGGGAGACGTCGCAGAAGAAGTGGTTGAGGACATTGGGGCCGCAGTAGGACAGGCTGGCAATGCACGCTGTTTTGATCATTGAGACCACCAGCCCACCCAGCCAGGAGGACACAGCCAGGCCCAGACAGACCTGGGGCCGCATGAGCAGTGGGTAGTGCAGTGGGAGACAGATGGCCACGTAGCGGTCATAGGCCATGGAGGCCAGGAGGGTGCACTCCGTGCAGATGAGAGAGACGAAGAAGAAGAGCTGGGTCATGCAGGCTGTAAAAGGAACGTGACAGTGCCCAGCCCACAGCCCTATGAGGAGCGTGGGCATGGTCACCGACACGTAGCACATCTCCAGGCCGCTGAGGTTGCCCAGAAAGAAGTACATGGGCTTGTGGAGCTCAGAGTGGCTGCAGATGAGGTAGATGATGAGCGTGTTCTCCAGGAGGGTGAGCAGGTAGAGGGCCAGGAAGATGGCAAAGAGGGCGTCCCTGGTGCTCAGCCTGGTGGACAGACCCAGTAGGACGAAGTGCTGGACCCTGGTCATGTTGGCCGGCTCCAGGGAGCTCTCCATCTAAGAATCAGAGGTATCTGTAAAATATTTTTGGATGTCTCTCTGAATCTTTTCCCACCCTATATCAGAACCATTTTCTCATTTGGATTAATGAAATAACTTCATATGGCTTCTTTCTGCTGCCGAGCTTCCCCTACACAGTCCTCCAGGTAGCAGTTGATGGGGTCTTCAGTTTCCTAGATCATATGGGGTCCTGCCTCTGCACAAACCCCACTGCCCCTGGAGTGGACACTTGGCGCCTTATCAGGATCTTCCACCCCAGTGACCTGGTCCCTGCCCCTGCCTCATGTTTCACTCATAGTGCTTTGGCTTCCCCTCCCGTCCTCTGAGAAGTCCCATGGGAACTCCCTTCTCTCTGGAACACTATCTCCTCATTCTTGCTTTTTGCATTTCTAGGAATTCTGACATCCTTGCAGGTACTTTCAATGTCTTATCCTCAGATATGTCTGCCCTATTCTCTATTTCTGCACCACCTTTCCAGGCATTCTCATAAATGTAAATTACTTGCATGCCCGTCCAGTTGTTTACTGTCTCTCCAACTGGGCTGTAAGTCCTTGAGGGTAAGAAGTCTGAGTCATCAAAGATTCTGTGTGCCCTGAACCTCACAAGGAAGCGTACCTCCTGGTGCAGGAAAAGTATTCAGCAGAAGTGTGTTATGCGTGGTGGGTCAAAGTTGAATTTCCAGACACTTCTCCTTACCAATAACACATTACAGGGTGTCCGCTTGATGCACCAGCACTCCTCAGAGGTGGCCTGGCTCTTCAACTCACGGTCCTCGAATTTAAGGGCCACAGTCTGAAAAAAAACCCCAACAACCTGGATTTTTATTCAATAAATCTACCTTGTCTACCTATTACAATCTCCAGCATATTGTTGGATTTGTTCAAGCTATTTTCCATAAAGTAGGGAAGATGATATTGGCTTCCATGAGCTGCTGGGAAGATGACACAAAAAAGGTGAGTGAGAGTTCTGTCCAAATGCTATTACTTTTGTTGTACTTAGTCAGGTCCTTTTTAGGTCATCTTCAAAAAGCTACACAGCACTTCAGTAACTCTTCTGGGCGTCTTGGTGTAGAGATGCATGTTTATCTCTTTCATTGAAGTGTGATTCACATTGGGTTTTTTTTTTTTGACATTTAGCGTGTCATTTTGCTTTCCAGGCTCATCTCAGCAGGTGCTCTTCCCCACCACCCGGTCCCACCCCTGATGCTGTGCAGATCACTGTGTGCATGTCTCTCTGCTCACTTGAAATCACAGCCCCAAGGGCAAGTCCTAGAAGCGCCATGACCACACCAACATGTATGCTAGCTTGAACTTCTGAAGGAGTGAGGCGTACACTCCCAAAGTTGTCTGTCGGCCCCTGGTAGAGTATAGCAATGTCAGCTTCCCCGTGTCTCTCCCCAGGGTGTGCATGATCGGCTTTCTGACCTTTGAAAACCTGATAATCAATAAAGATATATATTGGTGGTTTTCAGCATTTATTTGTTTTACTATGATATATAGTGTCTCCCTTTGTTTAAAACTGATTTGTACTTCCTTTTCCCCAAACTGTTCTTGGGCCTTGCCTACTCTATTTCCTGAGTTGAATCTTTTTACTAATTTATACTATGCATGCTTTAAATAGAAGTAATTGGGGTTCCGGAGGCTGAGGCCTTTGCTGAAGAGTGTGCTGAAGCACTGATGTGGTCCAGAGGCTGCCTGAGCACGGCGGCCTGTGTTTCCAGAGTGGGGTGGGGTCCAGCAACACTGCCAGGCCTCCTGGGATGTCGCAACTGGGGGAAGATGGTGTGGGGATGATAATTAATCAGAGCGACCTCAAACCTTATCCATTCAGTGTTAGATATTTATTTATTTATTTGTGTGTTTATTTATTGTATTTGGTACGAGGTCTCACTACACAGCTCAGGCTCTTAGCGATTCTCCTGTTTTCAGCCTCCCCAGTGCTGGGATTACAGGTGTACACCACCACCCCCGGTCTTGGTGGCCAGCTAACCGTGCCCAGGGGTGGGGCCAGCGTGGCATGTGGTGCCAGGGACTGAGTACCAGTCCCTGCACTTTGCCTAAGCAGGCACTTAGTCCACTGAACTGTCTTGGCAGACCAGAATGTTAGATTGTTGATGGTGGAAGTGTTGTGGTTACTATCTAGTCCAATGCACTGAGAGTGTAAGGGCAGAAAATGAAAAACAAGACAAAATGTGTTCCCATCCAGGTCCCTCACTGCCTTTGTCCTCCAGTGCTCTGTGAGTTTCTCTCTCCTGGGTCATTAAAATCATCTCAGGCTTCTGACCCCTACGAATTTCTCTCCAGATATCCCATGTACAGCTCTAATAATAATCCAAACTGTTCAAAATGTCCAGCTCATGGTCTCTTCATATATAAAAGGAGGAAGACCACAGCTTATCAGATAGAGTTTTGTGAGACTTACAAGCGAAAGTGGAGGTTCTAGAAAAGGAGGTTGCTTGCCCAGGTCACGAAGCAGTTGTTGGTACTCTAAATGCCAGCTTGCACTTGGCAACCTTGCAGCAGTCAGTTCCTAAATAATTAAAGAACCCAGTTACTATATTTATCAAAAAGGTAGGATATGTGCTACTAATGTGGGATGGCTTTAGGTAGCAGACAGACAAGTTCCTGAGTGACACTGAGTCACCAAATGTGACCGATGATTATCCTTTTGCCAATTCTCTTTCAATCGTAGTTGTTACATCAAGGAAAAAATTCAACTTGGTACTAATGTGCATTAGTTTCTCACTGCCACGTTCTGAGCTTTTCATCTAACACATAGGGAGGAGCTTCCACACCTCTCAGAAGTTTGGGTTTTGAAGCTACAACTAGGACACTTTGGCATCATTTTATTCTGTCGGATTTTGTTTCATTTTGTGTGTGGCTGTCCTCTCCCTTCACCAGGTATTTTTAAGGGTAACACAGTCACAGTCCTACAGCATGGACATGCCACTTCCACCTAAGAGTCCTTGGAACAAATCACTTCACCTCTCAGAGTCCCAGTTGGTTAGAAAATAAGCTCAGCTTCTGCATGCTGAAAGAATACTGGATCCAACACTAATGTCCTTTCCTGGCATTTCTAAATGCACATCACTGTGTTGTGTTACCTATTCCTATCTATCCCTATCGCAGCTTTGTATGTGGATAAGTATCGCCTTACACATTTTAAAGATGTGTAAGTGAAGGACTAAAGAGTCGAGTATTTCCCCCAGATGCCTCATCAACAGTAAAGCACAGAGGCAGTTTCCTAGACTTGCTTGGGAAGCTTCTCTATGTCTTGGGACATTTTAATGGAAGTTAGCTATTTTAGGAAAACATGCTGGGCAAAGAAAAAAGAAAACTCTCCTCCTCGGGGAAGGAAATTGTTGGCCCAGAAGACTACTGGAAAGCACTAAACCTGACCTCCTCACTCTGTAAGGGTGGAAGCAAAAGATCTACACAGAGGCAGCATTGCCGTGAATATCGCAAGGACATGCCGAGGATGGCACTGCGTTTCCCGAAATGTAGATGTGAAGCAGCTGGAGCTCTTTCCTTGGCTAAGATTCTAACAGTGTGATGCTGTCTCATTGTCCGGGTGACCTCGAACTGTTAGCTTTCTGAGCCCCGCTTTACAATGCAGAACAAGGGACTCGGGAAATAGAACATGTTGGTTTGTTCAAGATCCCTCCACAATTATGCAGTAGATGCTCTGGTGTGCAGCTGAACTTTTACACCATAACGTCATATTCATCCACTCCTCTATTTCTGTGGCTCTCAATTCCCACGATGATGAATCTAACTGCACAGAAGATGCTGCATGCTCAGATGAGTCTGTTCCCTTTGATCCAACAGAGAATGACGCTGTCGCGCGTTCTGATATATGGCTGCTCTGGAGCGTCAATGCGGACCTGTCCCTGGTCCTAAAACGATCCCAGAACCTATGCGTTGAACATGCTGTCCTTGGTCCTGAAACTCTGTCCCAGGGGCCTTGGTTTAGGAGAGCTCTGGCGAGCTCAACCCTGACAGAGAGCGCCCCTGTGGCTCTGTCCTTGGTCCTGAAACTTCACCTTGCTGCTGAGTTGAGCAGGCTTCTGAGGCGCTTTTGTTGGTCCTGAGTGTGACTTCAGCCAAGCAGCTTTAGCCCTGGCGAGCTAGACTCTTCCTGATTCTAAAGAACACTTCAGCGCCTTCTTCCTTGGGCCTTTGTCTCCTCTACCAGAACTCTTTCGAGCTCTGCTCCCTTCCCCTTTTCTCCTGATTTTTTCAGTGCTTCTCTTCACCTCTGCTCAGTGTCATCTCTGTTAATGAGGACTGTTATGGCTCAGAGCTCAAGCCGACCATACTACTTGTCAAGAGGAGGCTTTTTAAAACTCATCTTACGTAAGAACAAATAAGTCTAATTTCAAAAGTTAATTTTGTAACTCCTCAGTGTGGAATCAATACCCAAAGTCAGTTTGGGATTTTTCTTTCCCCCATAAGCTTCCCCCAGTACCTTCAGTGCCCTATGCATTATGCATGCGCAGCTGGACTGTGCAGATGTGGCCTTGGTCGACCCAGAGGGGCTTCCTCCCTGCAGCTTCCCTATCACCTAAACGTGGACACATTGCCTAACCTGTCTGATTGCCAGTAGCTTCTTAGAAGAAAAAAATGGATGTAACTATTTTAATTATAAATTAAATGATGCCTGCACCAGTAAATGAGAGTATATAATTGACACTGAATAGTGTAACCCTTTTAATGACTGAAATTTTGAGCAACTTACATGTCCTCATAGGCCTTCTGGTTCCTTACATCCAAATTGGGGTTATTTAGCATTTTTCTCATACAGTTGCCATGTACTTACTTTATATTACACAGTCAACAATAAATTGTTATTAAATAGCGTGCCATCATGTGTAGGTATTATACTCATGGTGTGCACATTTTTAGTAATCCATTGCATGGAGTACTGATGCATTTTTCAGGAGGGAAAATTAAGTTTAAGGAGGTAAGGAAGCTTGACAAGTTCATATGGCTAGTAAA